TGTGGGGGCGGGGCTGCCTCTACCTCTCCTCAGATTTTTCTTTTTTTGGGTCTCCCTAGATAGTTCAAACTGGCTTTGAACTCACTATGTAGCCCAGGCTGGCCTCAAACTTGTGGCAATCCTCCTGCTTCAGCCTCCCGAGTGCTGAGATTATAGGTGTGTGCCACCATCTCTGGCTGGAGGCTGTAGCTCAGTGTAAAGGCCCTGGTTCAATCTCCAGTACTGAAAAAAAAAAAAAAAAAAAAAAGACATAGAAATATATAAACCCTATTGTGCAAAAATAACTGCAATTATTTCAGAACAAACCTGAGAGGGACCACCCTAGCACGTAGATGAGACTCGTAACTCTTGTACAGACTATAAGGTCTTTCATAGCGTCATGGGCTGTGGAGGACCACCTGGGCGACTCTCCTTGAAGGAGGAGCAATGGTCTCCATTTTGGCTGAGCCTGGCCCTATGTCCATGTGTTGATGTGTACAGAGCTGGCTGGGACTTTTCCTCATCCCTTCCATTGGCTGTAAGTAATGCAAATCAGTCCGGCCAGGTGCTGACGGTAGGCCGGCGTGTTTCCCCGGACACACACACACACACACACACACACACACACACACACCGTACACCCGTTGTTCCCTTGGCAGGATGAAGAGCCAGTGCTCCACGTGCTTGGCTGGGGTTGAGCCTTGAGATAGAGATTACACATCAGAGCTGAAGCACGGATCCCAAAACATTAGATACTATCTCTGTTGCGGCATGCAGATGACTCCTTCTGCAGATCCTTCTCTCTGCACGCTGCAGAGGTGATTTCGGGCCTCCTGCCTAGCCCAGCTCACAGCACTCACCTACTTCCCGCCACTCTCAGTCACTCATCCTCAAGCCACTCCCTTTTTATTTTATTTTATTTTATTTTTCTCTTTTTGAGACAGGGGCTCACTATGCAGTTCAGGCTGGCCTTGAGCTCACTTTGTAGCCCAGGCTGATCTTGACCTCGCAACGATTCTCCTGCCTCAGCCTCCCGAGTGCTGGGATTACAGGCGTGTGCCACCATGTCTGGCCGCCACTCCCTTCTTCCCAAATTAATAAAACTTGGATTCAGCCCTGGGTCGACGCCTTTGTTCTGAATGGCCATCATTGTGGCTGGACTTAGGGCCCATTGGCTCCCCATAACTACAAACATGCCTTGGTGTCTTTATTCTTGCCATGGGTAGATTGGAATTAACTCACTAGAATTCCAATAACTTTTCCATGGGATTACAAATATAAACTTCCTGGACCTGACAAGGACTGGGAAGGGGTCTCTATAAGGAGCACTAGTACCGGGTGTGGTGGTGCACGCCAGTAATCCCAGCACATGGGAGGCTGAGGCAGGAGGATCATTGTGAGTTCAAGGTCAGCCTGGGCTACAAAGTGAGCTCAAGGCCAGCCTGTACTGCATAGCAAGACCCTGTCTCAAACAGACAGTAAATAAATAAATAATATATTTTTAAAAATATATATATATATATATATAATGAGCATTAAGGAGAAAAGGGAAAGGTCAAAACGGGACTTTCGGAAGGGAGAGTTCAGTGGCAAGGAGCCGGGGCTCCCCGCCAGGGACAGGCTGACAAAGCGCAGGGAGTGGTGGCTGCCTGTCAGGAGCAGGGCTGAGGGATGTGATGGGAATCGCGGGGTGCAGTGGTGCCCACTGGGCCTTATTAACCATGATTAAACATCTTTAGCAGGTGTGAGCACGTAGCAGGATGGAAAAGGCTCAAAGTAGTCTCTGGTCAGCGTAGGATGACAGCATTCAGATGCCTCCACTTTGCACTGAGCTACATTCCCCAGCCCTTTATTTGTTTTTGCTTGGTTTGTTTTGAGACAGGGTCTTGCTATGTAGTTCAGGATGGCCTTGAATTTACTATGCAGTCCAGGTTGGCCTCGGCTACCGGTGGTGATCCACCTGCCTCAGCCTCCCAAGTGCTGGGACTGCAGACGTGGGTCACTGTGGGCGGGCCCAGCCTTTTTTAGATTTTTGAGATAGAGTTCTGTAGGGAGCCGCGGAAGCTGGAAAGTAATTACATGTGCAGGACAAAGCCAGCCAGAGAACACGGGAGCTCCTTGAAACACGCAAACAACGGGGCTGGGGATTTAGCTCGGCAGCACAGAGCCTGCCTGGCAAGTGCAAGGTTGTGAGTTCGATTCCCGGTACCGGAAAAAAAGCGCGCACGCACGCGCACACACACACACACACACACACACACACACACACACGAAACACGTAAACAAGCCGTTGTAACTTGTTAACTGATTGCTGGACAGCGAGACAAAAATTAACCAACCTCTTGGTATAAATAAACGCTCTACTGTTCTTGGGGAGTTCCCCTTCTCCACGAAGGGAGAGAGAGGACCTCCACCTGATCCCAGCTTTTTGTCTACATCTTGTCTAATTTTTTCCTCATTCTTACTGCTGTTCCTTCCCGGGGTACAGCAACAACCCAACGGATCCCTACAGAGTTCCCTAAATTGTCCAGGGTGAGCTCCAACTTGGGAGCCTCCAGATTCAGAATGCTGGCTTACAGGCATGTGCTACAACGCACATATCATAAAACTCCACTGCAAAGCTGCGGGGGACTGATCAGACCCTCAGATACGTGTGGTGGGATCAGCAGGGAATAAAGAACAACAAAGCATGAATTTCAAGGGACAAGAGGACCAGGAGGAAGGGGACCTGCCTCCAGTGGACGGCACAGCTATCTCTGCACTTGACCCACTTTTATTAGCAAGCGAAGAGCACAGAGGATGGGTAGCGTACTACTGCCCATGCAACAGCAACTGCGGTAAATGGGGAACGGTTTAATGGAGAAGAAGCCTTTCTCCATATCGATACGCCTGCATTTCTGAGATTGTCCTCAGCAGATGCCATCTTGCCTTAGGAACGCTGTGCTTAGGGACTTTCTCTGCACAGCCGGGAAGCACGTGGCCTTCCACATGCTTCTTTGTTCCTAAAGCAAATCACATTGGCCTCAAAGCCAGGAGCCATGGGACCCCAATCACATAGCCTGGTCCCCAACAGAGTAAAATATTATTTTCACATCCTCTGGTCCCCAGTACAAAGTATACAGTTGAGTGGGTTGTTTTTTTTTTTTCGACACAAGGTCCCGCTATGCAGTTCAGGCTGAACTTGAGCTCACTTTGTAGCCCAGGCTGGTCTCAAACTTGCAAGGATCCTCCTGCCTCAGCCTCCCCGAGTGCTGAGATTACAGGCATGCACCACTATGCCTGGCTCAGTTGAGCGGTTTTTAACATATTCATGAAATTGTACAGTCATCACCACTAATTCCAGAACATTTTATCACTTTGAAAAGATATCTTAGCCGGGCACTGTGGTGCACACACCAGCATTTGGGAGGCTGAAGCTGGATTGCCACAAGTTCAAGGCCACCCTGAACTGCATGGTGAGGCCCTGTCTCAACTCCCTCCACAAAAAAAAAAAAATCCTATACCCATTACCAACCATCTCCTCCCCCTTTCCAGGTTCCCCACATCCTAGGCACCCACTAATCTACTTTCTGTCTCTGTAGACTGACCTATTCTGGGTACTTTATTTAAATGAAATTATACAATGTGTGACCTTATGCCTGGTTCCTTTCACTTAGCTTTTCCATAGCGTCAGTATGGTCTCACACACCTACTAGCAGTGTGCCAGGGCTCCAGCTTTCTTCTCTTCATCCTCACTAATGCTTATTGTCTTTCTTTCCTTTTTAAAAATTCTAGCGGTCTTGGCAGGTGTGCAGTGGTATCTCATTGTGGCTTTGCTTTGCATTTGTTTAAAAACTAGTGATGGTGAGCATCTTTCCGTGTGCTTTTTGGTCATCTCTTTTTTGAGGGGTGGTTTGAGACAGGATCTCACTATGCAGTTCAGGCTGGCCTTGAGCTCACTATGTAGCCCAGGCTGGCCATGAACTCATGGCGATCCTCCTGCCTCAGCTTCCCCAGTGCTGAGATCATAGGTGTGCGCCACCATGCCCCACTGCTTCTTGGTCATTTCTATATCCTCTGTACTGTCAGGGGAAGAATGGCTTCCAATGAGTCTCTGCAAGTATTGTGCAAGGTCCTCCTGGTTTACAGCTTCCGAGCGGCTCTGAGGACCTCAGTCCACAGGACCTCTGACTCCGTGGGCTTGCTCTGCATTCTCATGTTCTCTGAGTCCTTGTTCAGCAGCTGCTCCTCCGCTGACTCTGGACCTTTCTGGTTCCCAATGGCAGGAGCAAGAGTGGCCCGTTGTATGGCATGCATTCCCAGGGGTTGTTCAAAGTTTCAATGATTCACACACATCCGTGGGTGGGCAACTGTTGTCGGTGCATGGTGGGCCAATTGTGTCACTGTTTCTCTGTGTCATGATAGATCTCAATTGAGCGGCGGCGGTGGCGGCCGGCCTAAGGGCCGGCGCGCAATAGCGCTCGCCGCCGCATGGCCCACCCTCAGGGAGCCAGCAGGCAGGAAGCTAGCCAGCCGGAAGACTGGCGCTCCCTGCCCGAGGCTCCCTGTGCGCCGGAAGTCCTCCGTCCGGGGAACGACGAGGTCGGGAATGAGTCGCCGGTCCGAAGACCCCAAAAGACCGGCGCTCCCCACCCGAGGCTCCCCGTGCGCTAGGGGCCCACCCTCAGGGAGCCAGCAGGCAGGAAGCTAGCCAGCCGGAAGACTGGCGCTCCCTGCCCGAGGCTCCCTGTGCGCCGGAAGTCCTCCGTCCCCCTCCATTCTTTTTTATGGCTACGTAACATTCCACTGAGGTTGTACCACCACTGTCTTGATGAAACCGCTGCTGGGCTCTAAAGCGTCTTTTCTCAGTTGGGGAGCTGGTAAGGCCCATGATAAAGCCGGCCCCGAACACAAGCACTCATCTCACCACCAGCCGTCTGCTCTTGGATGATGTGAAAATGTAAGCGGGCACAGGAAGTGTCTCTAACCTGCTTATACTTCCTCTCCGAACCCCTGCGGTTTCACAACCCCTACAGGCACACTCCTCTGTCCCCTCCTCCCACCCAGTGTCATCAGCCAGGCGGCTCTGTGAGAAAGTTCCACTGCAAGAGGCCCCTGGGCACTGTCATTTCCCTCTTCCACCCTGTCTGGTTTGTCAGCGGCCCCAAAGGGCCCTGTGAGGCCGAGCTTGCGTCCACGGGTCCCTCCTGTGAGGGCAAGATGAAGAATTCCCTCATCACCATGATGAGGCTGCTTCTGCTGTCCGCAAACTTTCTCTTCGGTAAGCAAAGAGGCCAGGGTTTGAGGGTGGGCGGGGAAGGACATATGTTTGTGACCAGGGAAACTGCAGGGTTTTGTGAAGCTGGAGGCAAGGTGGGACTGGCCATAGGTGATGTGGGGGTCCCAAAACCCTGAAGGGAGAAGTGGGAAACAAAACAGAAAGAAAGCCAGAGCCCACCCTACAGGCAAAGTGCGGTGGCAGTGCCGGACGAAGTAGCTCACGCCTGTAACCCCATCACTCGGGAGGCTGAGGCAGGAGGATAGTTGAGAGTTCGAGACCAGCCTGGGCTACAAAGTGAGCTCAAGACCAGTCTGGGGGGCTGGGGATTTAGCTCAGCGTCACAGTGCCTGCCTGGCAAGCACAAGGTCATGAGTTCGATTCCCGGAACCGGGAAAAAAAAACCAAAGACCAGTCTGAACAGCATAGCGAGACCCTGTTGCAAAAAAAAAAAAGGGTGGAGGTAAAGTCAGAGAAGGGAAAGTACACTAGTGTGTGTGTTTGTGTGGCGGGGGGGGGGGGGGCTTCTTAAAATTTAAGGCAGATGATGGCATTGGCATCCCTGATACCCCAGGATGCTATGCGCCAAGGCAGATGCCTGCAACAACAGCAGGGCCGGAAAGGACGGTCTGCAGGTTTCGGAGGCTGGCCAGGCTGGGATGGGAAGCGGGTCGGGGGATCTGAGACCTAAGGGTTCAGCTCAGGGAGAGAGGGGTCCTTGGAGGGGAACAGGGAGGTTTAACGTGCAGTGAGTCCTCGCGTCCCCTGGGCTGTGCACGCGAAGTCCGGGGGGCTGGGCCCCACGGCCACAGGAGAGGTGGGTGTGTGACACGACGCAGCCTGCTCCGGGCACCCCACCTGGGCTCCTGCCGGGACACCCGGCCGCCGGCACCTCTGGGCCCCTCTGTCCGCGCCTTTCTCCTGGGCCGCTGCTGACTTTCCCTTCCCGCCGCCGAGAGGCCGAAAGGGAAGCTGCGCGGCCCGGTGCTCAGGAAGGAGCTGCCCGAGCCCGGGGCGGCAGGGAGCGCGGCGCGCACGCGGAGGGCCCTGCTCGGGGAGTCGGGCACAGCTCCAGCTTCGCCTGGGCAGCCGGGCAGTGCGCGTCCCCGCCGGGGGCTGGCACCAGCCAGCGAGGGCCAGGTGTGCCAAGCATGGCACGGGGCGTCGGGGTCTCAGCAGGGTCCCCACCCGGAAGCAGAAGCAGCTGACGGCTCTCGCCCTCCGCAGAGTCGGCCTCCAGCTACAACCTGGACGTGAAGGAGGCGCGGAACTTCTCCTTCCCGCCGGCCGGGAGGCACTTTGGGTACCGCGTGCTGCAGGTCGGAAACGGGTGAGCCGCCGCCCAGCCCCAGTCCTGCCCAGCAGATGCGCGAGGCCGCGCCCGCCCGCCCGGCGCTCTCCCGGCAACTCGCCCGGCTCCCGGAGGCCCCGTCAGGGAGCAGGGCGGACCTCTGCCTGGAGCAGACGGTTGGCGGGAATGTTCGAGCAACAGGACGTAGGCTGTGAAATGCTGGGGTGGGGCAGTCGATAAGGCCTCACGTAAGTGCCTGATGGGAAAGAGCACAGCCCCAAAACACTTTGCGCTGAGCGTGGTGGTGCACACCTGTAATCCCCAGCACTCGGGAGGCTGAGGCAGGAGGATCATTGTGAGCTCAAGGCCAGCCTGAACTGCACAGTGAGACCCTGTCTCGAAGACAAATAAATAAAAAATAAAAAATAAAAAAACCACTTTGCATCACACCTTAGGTTCTTGATTTTCCCTGGCCACACTGTGAGCTCCCTGATGGCCGAGATTTTGTCCCTTCCCTCCTCCTAGGACATACCATGGCCTAGCTCTGAGTAGGTGAGCCGTAAATGGCTTCTGATTTGAAGACTGCATGAATGCATCCACGATGTGACCGCTGGCAGAGCGTTCCTTCAGCCTCATGCTTTCTAAACTGTAAATGGCCGGACCTGTTAACTTTCTAGAAGTCTGGCATATAGAGAATTGTTTCTCTAGGAGTCAGGAAGAGAAAATGTGGGAGTTGAAGAATCTCCCCAAAAGTAGGAGATGCATTGCTTTAAAATACGAGGTGGGGCTGGGTATGGTGACGCCTGTAATCCCAGCACTCAGGAAGCTGAGGCAGGAGGATCCCTGAAAGTTTGAGACCAGCCTGGGCTACATAGTGAACTTAAGGCCAGTTTGAACTACACAGTGAGACCCTGTTGCAAAAAAAAAAAAAAAAAAAAAGTTACTTGGTGAGGAATCTGAGGCCCTACCATAAGCTGCAGTGGTGGGTAACAACCTGGGCAACTCCGTCTCAGGTGAGATTTCTCATCAGGGTTGTCGTAGGAGCTCCAGGTGAGGGGAACAGCATAGGAACCCTCTATCGGTGTGAGTTCCACAAGGGAGCCTGCCTGCCAGTCAGCCTGAGTGGTGAGTGGCTGGGAGCGGGTGGGGAGGAGCTGGGCTCTCACAGAAATCAGAGCTGGCCCCAGCTCTCTTGGGTTGTCTAAATTCCTCCAGACCAATCTTCTGGTGCTTACAGGTTTCAACTATACCTCCAAGTACTTGGGAATGACCTTGGCCACAGACCCCACAGGTGGAAGCATTTTGGTAAGAATTTTGTGTATAGTCACAGTTACAAATTGGTAAAGCCAGGATTTCAGTCAAATTCTCAATTGATTTCTAGTCCATTGCCCTTTCCTGTTTTTTGTTTGTCTTTTTGAGGCAGGGTCTCGCTTTGTAGTTCACACTAGCCTTGAGCTCACTTTGTAGCGCAGGCTGGCCTTGAACCCAGAATGATCCTCCTGCCTCAGCCTCCTGAGTGCTGGGATTACAGGCGAGTGCCACCACGCCCAGCAGGAAGACATTTTTTTTGGACACTTTATTTATGTATTTGGTACTGGGAATCGAACTCATGACCTCACGCTTACTGGGCAGGCGCTGTGCCACCGAGCTACATCCCCGGCCCTGTTGGATGCTTTATTGGAAAAGGGTAAAAGGAGGAGATAGCTACCCTGGTAAATCAGGGTGGGGGCTCCAGAAAAATGGAAGACCCAAAGGTCCCTCATCTCAGTCCTTTTTATTAGTGTGGCAGAAAGACTTTCTCCCCAGAGTGCATTGCAACCTGATTGGCTATTGCAGGCCCTAGAACCCTCCATCACCTATATGCTAATTTCTAGGTGAGCTTTATTTGGTTTTCTTTGTCCTGTCAGGCCCTCTCTGAAATTACGGATTTGTGAAAAGGCTTTACATAAGGAAAACATAGTGGGAGAGTGAAAGTGAAAGTGAAAGAGAAAGAGAAAGAAAGAGAGAGAGAGATCCAGTATATTAAGTGAACTTTTCTGTTATGCAGCCCCTCCCCCATCCCGTCTCCTTCGTGCTTTACTGCCCCGTGGGAGGGGCTGCAAATTTCCACTGGAGCTTGGCAGAGCCATGCTGCTTACCTGTTCCTTCTTCCTCTTGTTCGTCCCTCTAGAAAGGGTTTAACTCTTTCTAGTCAGGATTTGCCAGAAAGCGCACTGAGGCCTTCATCCTATTATTTCCCGACCTATCTACCCCTTTTCCCTCTGGTTTTTTTTTTTTTCTTTTTGAGACAGAGTCTCGCTATGCAGTTCAGGCTGGCCTTGAGCTCACTTTGTAGCCCAGGCTGGTCTTGAACTCAAAACAACCCTCCTGCCTCAGCCTCCCGAGTGCTGGGATTACAGGCGTGCGCCACAATGCCTGGCTTTCCCTCTGGTTCTTCTTTTTTTTTTTTTTTTACCTTGCTTTGAACCACTTGGATGTAGGAGTGAGAGAGGAGGACAGGATTCTAAAGAATCTTATAACTAAAACATACAACATCTCAGCACAGTGACACGTACCTGTAGTCCAAGCTGCTCAGGAAGCTGACACAGGAGTATCTCAAATTCAAGTCAGTAAGATCCTGTCTGAAAAAAATAAAAAGGAGCTAAGTACGGTGGTGTACAACTGTAATCCCAGCACTTTGAGAGGCTGAGGCAGGAGGGTTGCAAATTTGAGCCCAGCCTGGGAAATTTACCAACTCACTAAGACCCTATCTCAAAATACAAAATAATAAAAGGGCTGAAGATAAAACTCACTCCCTGGGTTTAATTCCTAGTGGGGCTGGGGGGTGGGACCAGCTGGAGATATAGCACAGTGGTACAGTATCCCTGGGTTTTAGCCCTAGTACCACCAAAATAAATAAATACATAAATAAAAATAGTCTTTTTTTCCTTTTCTTCCTTCAGGCCTGCGACGCTGGACTGTCTCGGACATGTGACCAGAACACCTATCTGAGTGGCCTGTGTTACCTGTTCCCCCAGAATCTGGGGGGACCTGTGCTTCGAGGGCGTCCTGGTTATCAGGGTAAGGAGCTGGAGTCCCGGTGGGGAAAATACCTCTGAGGAGCTGCCCCTGCCTGGGAACGCGCACGGGGAGGCCGGAGCTGGAGGCATCCCAGGCCCCCGTGTGTCTGGCCTCCACAGAGTGTATAAAGGGCAACGTGGACCTGGTGTTTCTGTTTGATGGCTCCATGAGCTTGCAGCAAGATGAGTTTCAGAAAATTGTGGACTTCATGAAGGATGTGATGAGGAAGCTCAGCAATTCTTCTTACCAGGTAAATGTGCTGGTCGGGATCCTCGGTTGCAGGCAGTGGATGTCTACCCGAACTGGTATAAGTCATGCAAGGAAAATGTAGCGTGCTGTAGGCCTGGTGTGGCTATGGGTGCAGCTCTAACTAGACTTCTGGAAAGGACAAGAACCAGGGAATAGGAAGCCTGTAGCATTCTCATAGTTTTATTTTCTATTTGTTTTTGTACTTTTGCTTCCCTCTTCCTTGGTTTCTCTGTAGATTGGTTCCCTTAGCTTCTTTGGATCACATGAGCTTGTGGGGTGCTCCTAAGTCATGTGTTGACATTCTAGAAGGTTTAAAAAAAATTTTAAACCTTCCTCTCAGCCGGGCATGGTGGCGCATGCCTGTAATCTCAGCCTGTAATCCTAGCACTCGGGAGGCTGAGGCAGAAGGATCTTTGTGAGTTTGAGACCAGCCTGGGCTACAAAATGAGCTCAAGGCCAGCCTGAACTGCATAGTTGAGACCCTGTCTCAAAAGAACAAAAAACAAAAAAACCCAAAAATCTCAGAAGAGTTGGGGTGCCCAGGTCCTGCCTAAAGAAGTAGAGATGGGAGAAGCCAAGAGAGGAGGGTTACATAACTGTGTGTTCTTTCTTCTCTTTCTAGTTTGCTGCTGTTCAATTTTCCACAAATTCCAAAACAGAATTTACCTTCTCAGATTATGTTAAATCAAAGGACCCTGATGTTCTGCTAGCCAACGTACAACACATGCGCTTGCTGACCAACACCTTTGGTGCCATCAACTATGTCGTGTGAGTTCTCTTTGCGGGAGAGAGCATATTCATTTATC